ACGGCGCCCGGCGGCGGCGGCCGGAAGCCCGAGGCGCCGCGGCGGCCGCCCGCGCCCCAGCCCCAGGGCCCCAGGGCCCGCGCCACGCGGACGCTCATGCTGAGGGACCGGCCCCACGCGCGTTACCCCGGCGACCGACGTACGTACGACTGCGGCGGCGCGGCGCGGTCCGTGACGCATTTCCGCCCGGGCGGACCGGGCACCCGGGCGGGAAGAAAGGTTCCGCCAGTTCCTGGTTCCGGCCCTGTTTGTGACTCTTGGCTGCTGCGGGCGGGTGTCTGACTTCAACCCCACGGAAAAGACGAAACCGCGACTCTGCACCACCACGAGCCTTCTAAGTATTTATTGAGTAAACAGCACTAGCAGAACAAGAGCCACGCTTTCTGCCTAGAAAGTGCTCGAAACGCCTGCACATCCTTTGTCTCTGCACTTACTGGATTCTCCCAGCTGCCCTGGGCGGTAAGCAGGGTAACGGCTCTCTTGTATAATGTGTCCCACACACCAGACCCGGGGCCCAGCCCGTAATAAACACCCAATAAATATGTGTCCCACCGAACGAAGCCCTGGATGTTTTTCAGACATTCGCTCATTTAATGTCTCACAGCTACACTGTGATGAATAGGTACTGTTCGCCTCCGTTTATGGGGGCGGAGACAAAGGCCCTAAGAGTGGGTGACAGAAGAGGAATGGAAACGGGGGTTCCCTGGCTTCTGAGTGCTGGTGTGAGGCTGGGTCAAACAGAGTCTATCTCTAAATCTCACCCTAATCACATACATACATTCTCTCTCATTTCCTGCCCACCCCTTCTAAGGAGCTCAGGACACACACACTCACTACACACTCACACTCACACCACACACACACACTCACACCACACACACTCACTATACACACACACACTACATACACACACCACACACACACTCTCACACTCACCACACACACACACACACACACACACACACACACTCACACTCACTACACACCTCATAATGAGAAAGACCGAGGTAGAATGATGTCAGAAAATCTCCAGTGAGTTTGTCCTGAGATTTAAAGCCCTAACTCCTGGGACATTGTGACAGCCTTGCTTTTGACAAGGAAAAGGTGTGAATAAGCTGCATGCCCCACGCGAGGAGATTAGTTAAGGGAGTTATGGCGAATCTCACACTGCTGTGATCATGAAAGACATGGAGGAGCGTCTCGGGTGGAGTCAGGAATGGAGCCTCGGGAAGCCCATAAATCCCCAGCCCAGGGAGTCTGTGAAGACATCAGTCCACAGCGACAGGGACAGCAGGACAGGGCCCCGCAGCAGCCTGAGCCGGGAAGCGGGCAGACCAGTGTGACCTGCTTTGGCGGCCCCCAGGCAGCCCAATCCCTCCGGCCTGGAGCTGAGGACCAACCCTTATCCATACGACAGCGGAGAGTAGGAGCTGGTAGCAGGGTGCTTCCAGACCTGAGGTACAAGATAAAGAGAACCATTGGAGGGGTCTTTGGGGAACAGTTAGATCTTTGGATCCCTCCTTCTCATTAGACACTGAGTGATGCCCCTCCCCTATTCTAGCAAACACCCAGAGATGAGCCGGCATGCCAGGGCCAGGGTGGATGTGGGCACTCCGCCGAAAGCTGGATGAGGGACGGCCACCAGTGTTCTCCCCACGGAGCTCCTGGAACCCTGGAGCAGACCCCTCCCCTCCAGCAAGGGCCCGGAGACCTTGGGGAATCTGGCCAGTCCAAGATGAAGATCCTGATGGTATTGACAGTCCAGGAAGTTCCCAAATGGCCCACCAAGTTCAACTTAGAGTGAAGCTAAACCAACAAATACCATCCAATGACTTATTCTCCTCCTTTTCTTTCCTAATTGTGAGCAGCCATCAAAGACTCGTGGCCTCTGAGGAAATGTGGAAGCCCCTTTTACGTCCGTGGTTCAGGGTTCTGGTTCTGGAGACGGCCGCACACAAATGAAGAGACTCTGGAAAAGAGTTAATTTGGGAAATGGGGGCCAGGCGGTAGCCCAACTCTAGTGGGAGGACTCCTACTTGCTCTGGCTTTTCCATCCCTTTTATTAAGATTAAAATGATAGGATACACCCATATGCCCTAGGCAGGAAACTCCAATAAAAGCCAATCAGTGGATGTAGGATTAACAGGTGGGGCTGCTTCAACTACCAATGTCTAGTCATTAGCTCTGACCCTAGGCTCTGCAGTGTTTCCCAAACTTCTCTCATGATGAGAATCACCTGGTGGAGTTGTTAAAATACAGATTCCTGAATCCCAGCAATTCAGGTTGACCACCCTCCGGATTCCCTGTCCACAGCTCTCTATTATTAAGACAATGATTGGCTTCCGGCAAGGAAATCCTCTTACAAACAGAAAACAAAAACCACCTAGGGTTCAGAGTCCAAAGAAAATGACCATGGAAGTAAGAGAAGACGCTGCCTCCATGAAAAAGGAACAGGAAGTGACAGTAGAAAATAGCATTCCGGAAACACAAAGGAGACCCTGGGAACAAAGAACAGGAGAGCAGACGGGAGAATCCAGAGAAGGCCAGGGAGAGAGCTGAGGAGACCTCAGGAGGTGAAGCCACGGAAGAACCAAACGAGAGAAGCGGGAGCGAAAAGAAGCGAGAAGACAGCCAGGGGGGCCAGGGCACCGCGTCATGGGGTTCCAGAAGGAGAAGTGAGAAACGGAGGGAAGGAAGTCAGAGTTTCTATTTTGTTCCTGGAGAACAGAGGGCCTGGGCTTCCTGGGCAAAGGGGCTCCTGCGAGCTGGCATGACGGATGGAATGAGACGCACAGAGAGTGTGAAATGTCAGGACTTTGGAGGCAAACATCTTAAAACCTCCCAGGAAGCCCTGGCTGGTGTGGCTCAGTGGATAGAGCGTCGGCCTGCGGACTGAGAGGTCCCGGGTTCAATTCTGGTCCAGGGCACATGTCTGGGTTGCAGGCACATCCCCAGTGGGGGACGTGCAGGAGGCAGCCAATCAGTGATTCTCATCATTGATGTTCCTATCTCTCTCTCTCCCTCTCCCTTCCTCTCTGAAGTCAATAAAAATGTTTTTTAAAAAAACAGTACCTGCCAGGAAGAACAAAAAGGGTTGCACGCAAAGGCTTGAAGCACAGAATCGCCTCAGCCTTTCATCAGCTCTGCGGCCGCTGGGAGACCCCGTCGTCATGACGCCCAGGGGCAAACACCTCCACCTTTGAATTTTTTTTTTTTTAATATATTGATTTTTTAGAGAGGAAGAGAAAGGGATAGAGAGTTGGAAACATTGATGAGAGAGAATCACCGATCAGCTGCCTCTTGCACACCCCCTACTGGGGATGTGCCCGCAGCCAAGGTACATGCCCTTGAATGGAATCGAACCCGGGACCTTTCACTATCCACTGAGCCAAACCGGTTTCAGCCCACCTTTGAATTCTTAGCCGAGTGCCCGTCAGCCAGGTGCTGGATGGATATGTCCCTCGAGGCTGGCAGATGACAGCTGCCCAGGGACACGCCCATGCTCAGTGCTGTGGAGTTCAGAGGTCACGGCCCACTGGAGGGGAGGGTGCACAGAACTGGGGTTCTGGAAGGGCTTCCTGGGGTGATACTGGAGAGCAGTCGGCCTTGGACAGGTGGAGACACCCAGGGGAGGGGGAGGAGGAAGGGGAGGGGGAGGGAAAAGAGGGGGAGGGGAGGGGGTGGCACTCAGGCAGGGAGGCGGGAAGGGTGGGCAGCCAGCTTGACCCCAGTGTGGCAGGGCCGGAAGTGCCGGGCACAAGGCTTGGGCTGGCTCCTGAGGCCGTGGGAGCCACGGGGGTTCTGGGCACAGGAAGGAGCTGGGCCAGCGAGGCTGTGGCTGCTGCCAGGTGCAGTGGGGCCGCTGGTTGGAGGGGAGGGAGGCGGGAGTCGAGGAGGCATGCAGGCAGGACGACGGATGTGCACAGCTGTGCCCGGACTCAGTGGGTCCTGGGAGCTGCAGGCTCCCCCTGAGCCGGGCTGTTAACCCGAGGGCAGGGTCTGGGGTTTGTGCCCAGCCCTCCCTCTGGCCTGCCGGGGCAGCAAGTGGTAGGGACAGCAGTCTCTGCCTCCCAGGCGCCCGAGGGCCTGGCGCCTGCACGCTGCAGAGGCGAGGCTGGAGGGAAGCCACACACTTTCCCCACGGTCTCCTGGGGGAGGGAAGCGTGTCCCTGGGCCAACCCTCTGCGCAGGGGAGGGCCAGGCTGGCAGCTCTGGAGCGGAGGCGCGGGGCCTGGGCAAATGCCTTAATTTCCTTTAAAACTGAAGGAAGAGGTGGGTGGGGTCCAGCTGGCTTATACTTGTCCTTATGCCAGAGCAGTCAAAGGTGGAGTGCCCATGGGACAAAATGCCAGGCCCGGGAAGTCAGACCTGGGCCCAGGAGCCCCCCTGAGCCCCTGAGAGGAGTGCAGCTCACGTTCCCTCAGGACAGCGGGGGCAGCTGTGATCCTGAGGCTCCGGCTCTGCCACCCAGGTTAGCCCCCACCAGTCAGGCCTGGCTGCAGCGAGAAAGCGGCGTCAGATGGGGAGGGGTGCCCAGGCCCGGGGCTGGACTTGCGGGTCTCATCAGGGTGGCCCTGGCAAACTGGGGCACCTCTGGGCTGCAAGCCTGCAGCTTCCACTCAAGGGCACCACGGCTCTGCAAGGCCTGCCTTCTGGGCGTCATTAGCCCCACGCCTGCGCCCACCCTACAGACCAGGACATGGAGGCCAGGACCCAGCCAGAGGGCTGTGCCAGGAGGAGGGTGAGGCCGCCTCTGTAGACGGTGGGCCGGGCTGCTGTGTAGGAGGGGGCTCGGGCGTTGCCATTAAGGGATGCAATGCCCCTCTCTGAGGCCCTCTCTGCTGACCCATTTTACAGATGGGAAAGGTGAGACTCAAGAGAAGCGACCTGCTTGGGACTCAGCCGGGGGACCGGTGGGGAGGGAGGAGGAGCCTGCTGGTGGCGGGAGCAGAGCGCTTCCGGCCGGCACCGCGCTGAGAGGAGGGAGCTTTGGGCCGGAGTGGGCGCGGCCGGGCTCCCCGCCAGCCGGGCGGGCGGGCGGAGCCTCCCTCCCGGGCGGGGCGGCCGGGCTGACTTCGCCGCCACTTCCCGCCGCCGCGCCCTTCCCCAGCAGGTCCTCTGCCGGTGAGTGGGGACGGGGCGCCGGGATCCGAGCCAGGGGGCCCTCGAGGGCGCGATCCCGAGGGGAAACTGAGGCCGGAGGTGGCAGGACCCGAGGGGAGGCGGAGGGGAGGCGGAGGGCTGCACTGGGAGCTGGGCTGCAAGTCACTGGGGCGGTGGCCAGGCGATGGGGAGACCAGACCTGAGTGTGTGTCTCTCTCTCTCTCTCTCTCCCTCTCTCTCTCTCTCTCTCTCTCTCAGCTCCGCCCCGTCCCGCCCCGCCTCTCCCCCTTCACCCAGCCCGGGGCCTGTCCCGGGGGAGGGGCGGACACCCCCTCTCCCGCCCTCTCCTGGGAGCAGCGGGGCAGGGAGGGTGGGACGCCCTTTCTAGGGGAGGAAGCCCAGGCCAGACTGGGAGGCTTTGCCCAAAAGCCAGGTAAGACGCCAGCGGCCTCAGAACCCTAGAACCCAATCCTCAGCCCCCCATCCCAGTGCTCAGGTGCCAGTGCCTGGACGTGGTGACCGGTCAGTCCCCTGGGCACACCCGCCAGAGAGGGAACTGCGGCCGGTGAGGCCTGCGGAGCGCTGGGGCGTGTGCGTGTGTGTGTGTGTGTGTGTGTGTGTGCGCGCGTGCACGTGTATGTGTGTGTGTGTGCGTGTGCGTGCGTGTGTGTGTGTGTGTGTGTGTGCGTGTGCGTGTGCGTGTGCGTGCGTGTGCGTGTGTGCTGGCAGATGCCGTGGGCTGCTCTGGGCGGCAAGCCCCTCCCGCTGGCCTGCCCAGGCATGTGGGTGCCCCGGGCCAGGAGCCTGGCGCCAGCCACGTGCTCCGGGGGGCTGCAGGAGCGGGGCTGGGCCTCTCCAGGTTCAGGAGCCCAGGCCGAGGGCAGGGAGGGGTAACAGAGCCGAGGCCGGTCCACTGGGGCCAGGGGCAGGGGGCAGGGAGGGGGTGGCAGAGGTGCCCGCACAGCAGGCTCTCACCAGGCTGTGGGCTGAGGGCTGTGTCTCCGCGGGGCAGAGTGGGGCCCCGCAGGGCAGGGGGAGACAGGCGTCAGCTCCTCCCTCAGCTTCTCCGAGGGAGTGGAGCTTGTCCCCTGGTGGGAAAGGAGCTGTGAGCCAGGGAGGGAGAGAAGAGCCTCCAGGGTGCCAGGGCAGGGCAGGCTCTGAGGGGCTGGGCAGTGGGCCTGGGGTGGCGGGAGGGAGGCCTTGGCGCTGGCAGGTCCGTGAGCGGAGCAGTCAGGAGGGAGGTGGGGTGACACGGGGCGAAGGGCCATGTCTGGATGGGAAGAGGTGGGAAGGGAGGGCACAGCGTGTGAGTGGGCTTGTGGCCCAGAGCTCAGGCCTGCGAGTCCCAGCTCACGGGGTGGAGGTGGAGTCGTCGGCCTCAGAGCTGCACAGACGCCACAGTCCTGGGAGGCCCCGTGCCTCAGTTTCCTCTTCTGGGCGGCGGGAATAGTGAGGGTCCACACGGAGGCCCAGGGGCGTGTGGCCCAGGCCCAGCGGCTCTGAGAAGAGTAAGCGAGGGACGAGTCCAATCTGGCCCTCCGCCAGCCCCTCCGCCAGCCCCACCCTCCGCCAGCCCCGCCCCTCAGTAGCCCCTCCCCTCCAGCAGCCCCTCCCCCTCAGTAGCCCCACCTCTCGCCAGCCTCACCTGCTGGCATTCCCAGGGGCCCAGGCCCTGGGCAGCCTGGGTTGGAGGGTCCCCGTGAGTGCCCAGGCCGTGGGGCGGGGCCTCCGTGCAGCACGTCCCCAGCGGGTCCAGGGTCAGCCAGTCGTTTTCTCGGCCTGGGGTGGGCTCCGTGGAGGAAATGGGGCGGGTGGCCCACACCTGTGCCCACAGCCCGCACCGTCCGGTCCTCACTGAGCTGGGCCTCTCCGGCCCCGGAAGCAGCCAGGCCAGTGTGCCCGCTGCACAGGGAGACTGAGGCCGGGGTCACCGGGCCCCTTGGAGCCAAAGCCAAGGCCTGGGCTCTCAGTCACCTTCTCCAGAGGCAGAATGGGGGCAGCTTTGCCCCTCTGCCCCCTCCCGGCCATGGGTGCTTCCTGGCAGCCCCTGGGCCCTGCCGCCTGCCGCCTGCCAGCGTGCCAGCGTGTGGTCCCCCGGGTGGCTCAGGGGCCGGGCAGCCTCCAGAGGCCTCTCCCTGCGGGACCCCTGACCCCCTGACCCTCTGACCCCTCTGCCCGTGGGAACAAACACAGCCTGGCCCTGAAGGGGCAGCCGGGGGCGGGGGGGGGGGGCGCAGGCGCTCTGGCTCTCACCCTGCTCTGTCGCTTCGGCCACAGGAAAGCCACCCCCTGGTGGGGGCTTGGGAGGTGGCTCCAGGCCAGGCCGCTGGCTGGCACTTGTGTGGGTTTGTGTGGGGTTGCTTAGGCAAGCGCTGGGAGCGTGTCAGGGTGCATGCCTCCCCCCCTCCCCCTCCCCCTCCCCCGGGGAGAAGTGTGGACAGGCTGCAGTGTGGAGCCGTGACAACATGGTGCTGCTGAGAAGCCGGTCCCCAGAGGCCCCGGCTGAAGCCCCTGAGGAGCCGGGGCACCGGGCAGTCACCCTGGAACTGCTCTGCAGAGCGGGGCGATCGCAGCTTCTCCGGGCCCAGGACGGTGCCCGCCCGCGTGTGGCAGCCCAGCCCCGGGCAGCGCATTGGGCAGGGACCCGGGACTGTCCCCACTCCACAGCGAGAAAACGGAGGCCCGGAGGGAGGGATCCGGCCGCCGAGGGCAGAGCTGGGCCCGCTGGGAGCCCAACACTCTGTTCCTCCAAAATTAAGGTTCACTGGCGTGTTCTCTCTCTCCCTCTCTCCCTCTCTCCCTCTCTCCCTCTCCCTCTCCCTCTCTCCCTCTCTCACACACACACACACACACACACACACACACACACACGCTGGTCCCTCTCCTGAGCCCCGAGGGCCTCCTTGGCTTCTTTTTTTTTCTTTCTCTCCTTGGCTTCTTAATCGCTTCCTGAGTCTGCGCAGCCCGGCTGGCTCACCCTCTGCCTCTGACTTCCTCAATGAACTTTCTCTCATTTAAAAAAAAACCACAATAATGCTCCCAGAGACGGTGGGGGGGCAATGAACCGCCCCGGGGCCTCCTGGGCCGGTGGGGGCACCGCAGGCAGACCTGGCGGAGCGCCCGCCCAGGCCCGGCCGAGGCCTACGCTCAGGCCAGGCCGGCCACACCGCTGCTGCCAAGAAAGTCTTGGTTTCAGGATGACGACATCTTTGTGTGTTTGTTACCGTTTTTACTGTGCACACTCACATGGTCTGCTTCCTGTAAAGATGGCGGTTGTCTGATTATTCAGTTTTATAATTATCCGGCCTCTCCCCTGCATCTGCCCCCTCCCGCTCCCTCCAGGCCAACCTGCCGGCTGGCCGTGTCCTTCTCTGGACCCCTCGCATCCCCCCTCCTGCGTCCCCCTCTGGTGTCCCCCTCTGGTGTCCCCCTCCGGTGTCCTGGGGCTCCCAGGAAGGGAAGGGGATTTTAGGTGTGCCAGGTAGATGTTCCATTTTTCAGAGGGAAAAACTGAGGGCGGCCCCAAGAGTTTGAGTGCTTTGCCTGTGAGCCCATGGGAGCCAGGAGTGAGCCAAGCCGTCTGCTCCCAGCTGTCGGATGAGTGAATGAGAAGTTCTAGAACCTAAAGCAGGGAGTGTGGACTGGCCCAGGCCTCCCAGCCCCCGGCTGGCACTCGGCCTGGTGGGGAAGGGGGTGAGGCTGGGACGCCTGCTTGGTGGCGGGGCCACACTGGCCTGACTGAGGTGCAGAGCGGAGGGCTCCCCGTCTGGAGACCCTCGGCCGCGGCGAGAACGCAGGACTGGTGCTGGGCAGGGGCTAGGGGAGCCCGCGGGGGACAGGCACCTGGGAGGCCCTGCAGGGGGGCAGCTTCTGGGTGCGGGAGGCGTTCGGGTGGCAGTGTGTTCACTGGCGCCCGGGGCCAGCCCTCCCCGCCTCGCTCATCCCTTCCTCCTCCCCTCTTCCCTCCATCGGGCGCCATGTGAGTGAGGAGGGCCTTTGCTGCCGCCGAAGGGGGCGGCAGGCCTGACCCGGTCTGCGCACAGTAGGTCCTCTCACCGGCCCGGTTTCTCTTTCAGAGCTTCCGAACAGCACAGAGCCGGGATGGCCCCGCCCTGGGTGCCCGCCGTGGGCCTCACGCTGGCGCCCAGCCTGGGCGGCTTCCTGAGCTCCTACCACGCCCGCGGGGAGGGCCTCCGCTGGTACGCCAGCCTGCAGAAGCCCTCGTGGCACCCGCCCCGCTGGGCGCTGGCCCCCATCTGGGGCTCGCTCTACTCGGCCATGGGGTGAGTGGCTGCCGGGGGCGGCGGGCCCCAGCGGCAGGGCCGGCGGTGCTGCTGGGCAGCGGCTCCGGCTCCATTCCCGGGCCTCCTCTGCCCGGGAGGGGGGAGGCTGTGGGCCGGGATTGCACCACCCAGCCCTCCCCTGCGGGCTTCTCGGGAGGGGCGGCCCGATGGCTCAACCCCTCGCTGGCATCCTGGCTGTTTTCACAACTCCAGGCTGAGGCTGGCTCTGCGGGCAAAGTTCATGTGTGGGCAGCGCGGAGGCTTCCCATGCCCATGGCAGCAGCAGCACCGCAGTCACAGTGGCTGCCATTTGCCGGGATTCCGTCTGGTGCTGGAGTGCGGGGCGCTGCGGGGGGCCCTGGACTAGACCCTGGGAATCGCTGTGGTGCAAGGAAGTGCTGCCTGTGGTCTCCCCCTGGTGGCCACAGTCGGAACTGCACGCAGAAGGTGCAGACAGCTTTCTGCCCATCTTCTGGAATGTTCCCTGCATGTGGGTTCTGGGCCTGCCCAGGGCAAGGTGGGGCCGCAGACCCTAGCTACCCTCGGGGCAGGTAGCAGAGGCTGGGCTGGGTGCCCCAGAGTTCTGGTGAAGACAGTCCCTGAAACCTGGCTGTCACTGCCCCCCCTCCCCCCCAGCCCGTCAGGCTCCCAGTGCTCCCTGTGTCCTGCTCCCTCGCTCTGCGTCAGCTTGCTCTGGCCTCCAGGCCTCCGCAGTCCTTCTTGACCTCCCTCTACCATGGAGACCCTGACACGGCACACACGTCTCGTTCCTGGAACCCTGCCCCGTGAGGCTCCTGTAGGCACTGCCAAGTGCAAACTCCTACTCACCCTGCAAGGCCCAGCCCAAATGTCCCCGCAGTGCAGTGCCTCGGCAGGGCTGGGAGCCACATGGGCTTCCTTCACGGCACCGATACCGATAATAACGGTAAATACTTAGACTGCCCCTGTGCCCGGCACTGCCCCAAGCACGGCCAGTGTGCTAACTTGAGTCCCCACAGCAACCCTGCGGGAAATGAAGCCCCAGAGAGGCCAGGTAACTCCCCTGAGGCCACACAGCCGTCAGCGGCAGGGCGGCCTGAGCCATCGCCGTGCCACCCGGAGGTCAGACCTGCCTGGCCTCTCCCCGCTGCTGCCCTGACGGCACCTCTGTTCCAGGTACGGCTCCTACCTGGTCTGGAGAGAGCTGGGGGGCTTCACCGAGGAGGCGGTGGTCCCGCTGGGCCTGTACGCGGGGCAGCTGACCCTGAACTGGGCGTGGCCTCCCATCTTCTTCGGCTCCCGGCAGATGGGCGTGGTAAGTGCCCTTGGCCCCTGGCGATGGGCCGCAGAGGGTGGGCCTCCTTGGGGGGACATGGGCCTCACCACCCAGACGGGTCCCGGGGCCCACAGGCAGGGGCAGGCGGTGCCCAGCTCACAGCCGCCAGCGCCCTCTGGTGGAGCCTCCGGGGCTGCTTTCCTCCTGTCAGGCTGGGGCTCCGGTTTAGGGGCCCACGTGGAGGACAACCCCATTGCCCCTGGCACCATGTGCCCCGCACGTGGTGCAGGTCAGGCAGAGGCAGCTGTTGCTGTGCTCCATGTGGGGAAACTGAGGCGGAGAGCTGGGGAGGGCCTGGCTGGGCCATGCAGGGGTGGGATGGAGAGACTGCTCCGTGGGTGGGCAGCTGTGACAGGCACCCCTGTGGGTACCCTGAGCCTCAGACCCCGTCCCCCGTGTCTCCTCAGGCCCTGGTGGACCTCCTGCTGACGGGGGGGCTGGCGGCGGCCACCACCGTGGCCTGGCACCGGGTGAGCCCGCGGGCCGCTCGGCTGCTCTACCCGTACCTGGCCTGGCTGGCCTTCGCCGCTGCACTCAACTACTGCGTCTGGCGGGACAACCCGGGCCGGCGAGGCGGCCGGAGGCTTGGGGAATGAGGCCTGTCCCCGAGGACTGTGGCTGCCGCCGGATGGCCTGTGGGAAGGGGGCAGCCCCACACCTGGTGGCCACCACACCTGCGCGTCTGCCGGGGGCTCCGCCCAGGCCAGCACTGGCTTTGAGGGCTCCGGCTGGCCCACACCCAGGGCCGCGTCCTGCACCTTCTCGCTGCTCGGGGCCCGGGCTCGGGCACCGAGTGTCACACCAAATAAAGTCTCTCACGCATGGCCTTTGTCTTGGTGGGAAGCTCATCCCCTGCTGTGTCCGAGCTGCGTCACCGGAAGACGGGCTCAGGGCGCCTGCACGCTCTGGGGCCCCCCGGACCCTGTGAACGGCAAGGGGCCCAGACCAGCAGCCCGGGTCTGACCCGGAGCCCACGCTGGCTGTGCTGCTGCCTGGCTGGCAGGGACCAGGCCCAGACCTTGGCTTCAGCTGACCAGCCGGCCTGCCCCCTCTGGCCTCCAGGAGCCGGCTCGGCCTCTGGAAGGGTACAGCCCACAGTCTGCCTGGGCCCGAGGCAGGGCCTTCCACCGGCCACCCCTGGGGGCCAGGACTCCTGCCAGCCCCCCAACCCAGGGCAGCCCCTCAAACACCTCATGGGGAGAGGGGACATCAGAGGCAGAAAAGGCCAGTCCCAGCCCAGCAGGCAGCAGCCCCGCACTGGCCAGGCCTGCCCAGGTGTGGTGACCCCCCTGACCTCACACGGGAGACCCATGCCCTCCCAGGCAGCTGTTTGGAGTGAGGCTGGCAGAGGCCTGGAACCCGGGGAGTGGGGGAGGGGAGGGGACGGCTCCTGCTGGGAGGACGCTGAGCCCTGGGCCGAGGTCGGACGGCTGGCTTTGCTGCCTGTGCTGTGTGGCTGTTTAACACATTAATTAGAATCGGCCACACTTGCCTGTGTAGAGCTCTCGGCGGTTCAGCAGCCCTGAGCTTCGCTGCCTCCGCTCCGTCTCCTCCGTCCCCCGGCTTCACAGTCAGATGTGACCCCACATCAGGAGGAGCCCGGCGGCCGCCCTATGCTCGCTCGATGATGTCCACGCGGCTCCGCAGCGTCTGGCAGGGCCGGGGGTGAGGCCCAGCCGGGGCGGCTCCCGTGTTCCTGGGGCCCCACAGGGCGGCGGGTCAGGTGGGACTGCACTCCCACTTTACCGCTTGGCCTCGCGTGTCTGACAGACGCCGTGTGGCACCCAGCCCCGAGGCTGCGGGTCTCTCCATGACGCCCGCAGACCGCTGTCCACTCCCTGCGCAGCCCGTCGCCGTCGCTGGGGGGGGGGGGGGGGGCAAAGCGGCGGCATTTGCCCTCCGCCCGCTGCTGTGGGCGAGGCTCCGGCTGCCCCCGCAGCGTGCTCTCCCTCTGGCCGTCACCACCACGAGGCCCGTGGGGTTTCCACGCCGGCTCAGCAGCAAAGCCACACCGGGCAGGTTTACGGGGCCCTCGGGGTGCACCCTTCCCGGAGCCACTTCTGTGGGTGGGGTCTCGGCCGCCCTCCTGTCCACTGACCACGCCACAGGCCAGCCGCTCCTGCTGCCCAGGGGCTTGGCGGGAGGTCGTAGCTTCTGCACCAGCTCCTGGGCCCACTGGCAGCCCCTGAGCGGCAAGGGCCCTGGTGACCCCTCATCCCAGGATGAGGAAACAGGAACTCCCGGCCCGGATGTCAGTGCTCAGAGCTCTGGCCCAGTGCACAGCGGCCTGGGCTCACACCGACCCCCCTTCCTGCTCTGAAACGCAGACACTGGGTCAGGGAGCTGCTGTGGTCTGAGGGTGCCTGTCCCCCCAATTCATGTGCTGTACCAGGTGAGGCCTCTGGGGTGGCGAGCCCTCTGGGGTGGGCAGACCCCTCACCCCTCTGTGGGACGCAGCACGAAGTCCATGAACCGGAAGTGGACTCCCGGACACACGCCTGCTGGCCCCTTGACCTCGGGACCCCAGACCGTGAGAAAAGCTGCTGCCGTTGAAGCCGCCAGTTTACAGCCTTTTGTTACGGCAGCAGGACGGGCCGTGAATACCCGACTTCTCCTCCCGGGTTTCACGCCCCGAGAGTGGCTGAGCCAGGAGAGCCGCTGGCAGAGCCAGGCCCGTGGCCCCGGGACCCAGACACGGAGGCCGGAGCACGAAGGCGCCGGAGGGGACAGACACCAGCGCCGTCCGGCGACGAAGCAGGTGCTGTCCCGCCCCTCGGCTCATGGGAGGGCCGAGCCCCGGTCAGCAGAGGGGGACAGGCAGAGGGAGGCCCGGTCTGGTCCTGTCTCACTGCAAGGGTTTCTTTTGGCTTCAGAATGAACACACGTGTGTGCGCGCACACACACACACACACACACACACACACACAGCAAAGCAGGCCCCCGCTACTGACTCCACATTTCAGAAATGACATTACGAACGACAGCTCTGTATTTCTTCCCATACACGAAAGAGTAACAATAATGGACGTCTGGCCCTTGACACTGGTGGAGGACGTATCTCACGGGAAGTTCTCGGTGGAATCATCCCTCGAGGCCACTCCTGCCTGTTGCTCTGCTCCCCTCGCCCCAAGTCCCTCTCCCAAGCGCCACCCACCCTCAGGGGCACTGCCGCCCAGGGCAGCCAGGGCCACGGGGAGCAGGACGGCTGCCCTGGGCCACAGGTCTGCTGGTGACGGTCTGGGGAGGGGAGAGGATGGGGACGTGAGAAGCCTGGGTCCCCAAGGTGTTCTGGGACGCCTGCCACACGGGCAGAGGGGAGGGGTGGAGCCTGGCCCCGCCTGGGGGAGCCACACCTCACAGACGGGACAAGAGCTGCCAGCCCTCTGTCTGGGCTCCTGGGGTTCCTGGGGACCTCGTTTCTGGGGACACCTCGTCACACTCCCCAGAGCCCCTCTCGCTAACGGCCCTGGACACATGGACGCCAGGAACCGAACTCGGCGACGAAGCCGGGGCTGTGCTGAGCCACCGCACGGGTGGCGGGGGGCACGGCGCCGGGCACTCGGCAGGGACAGGCGAGGGCCTGCCCGGCCTCGGAGGACCTGCGCCCGGGGGGCGGGGCGGCACCTGGCGGCCTGGCCCGGAGGAGGGGGCTCTGAGCAGCGCCTAGAGCAGGCGCGTGACGGGGCAGCCGCCGGGCTGGTCCAGGAACAAGGTGCTGAAGACGTCGTTGAAGAAGCTGGGGTGGTAGCGGCAGGCGCGCTCGCAGTCCGGGTTGAAGTTCACCTCCAGGATCTGGGGCTGCATCACGCGCTGCCCTGCGGGCACACGGCAGGCACCTCACGGGGAGCCACGGAGGACCCGAGGGCCCGGCCCCGACTCCCCTGAGCCTCCAGGAAGCGGGGGAGGAGGGGCTCTCCCCACCCTCCCTGTTTGCTCCCCATCACGCAGGCTGTCACCCTTAACGATGGATCCCCGGCAAAGGGCAGCTCCGGCTAGGGGTGCCCCTGTGGGCACGGCTTTGGGTGCTGAGGTCTGGGGGACGGGGACCCTCACCGTCCGGACGGCTGTCCCACTTGAGCATGAGGTCGATGGCGTACACGGCGCGGGACGAGGGGTAGTGGCCCAGGCCGCGGGGAGGTGGCTCCGAGCACGCCGCCTGGAACAGCTCCGTGAAGGCCCGGAAGATCTCGGCCTGCGGCGGCGGCGGGGTCAGGGCTGCAGAGTGGCTCTCCACGTGGGGTTCGCTGCCCCTTCCCAAGCCCCAGGGCCCGAGCACTTCTCCTCCATCCGTTTCCCCAGGCCTGGCCCAAGCCGCCTCTGCCCACACCTGCCCTCCGTCCCGCACACCTGCCCGGCTCCTCTTCCAGCCCGGCTCCCTCTCACCCCGGTGTGCAGGGCGCCTGCCTCGCTCGCGGGGGGACGGGAGGCGCCTGCACCTCCAGCGGAGGCCCTGCTGCCCCGTAGGTTTGCGGTTCCTGGGACAGGCAGGGCTGAGGCCCCCAGGCCGCCCTCCACACCTCCCGTCCCTTCCCTGGCCTCGGTGGGAGGAGCAGGACATCCGAGGAGGCAGACAGACCCCCACGTGGCCCCACAGAGGCCCTGGCCCCTACGGCTTCGCTCAGGACTCACCTGGACGCCCCTCCAGGGGAATTCTGGGTACTGCTTCTCGAACTCAGGGATGAACTCGTCGTAGTGCACCTGCGACAGACACAGGCCTGTCACGGCTGCCCGCCTCCACGGCGGCCTCGGACACTCACTGAGGCCACCTGTCAGCGCCAGCAGCTTATCCCTCCCCTCCCCTCGGTGCACAAGGAGACGAGTCTGCACTCCGGACCTGCAGCCTCAGTGTCTTCATCTATGAAATGGGACGTGCTCCCCGCCCACAGCTTACTCTGCAGGGCCGCTGCGGCCTCTCAGGAGGCAGGGCACGCAGAGGGCCTGCAGGCTGTGAGGTCAGGGTGCTGGGACATGCCTGGGGCCCCGTCTGCACACCCGGGGGCAGCCGTTTCTCGGGGGCTTCCCCCTGACACGCCCGGTGGGCTGCCGCGGGAGCCCGCGCTCACGCCCTCCTGACACGTGTCCCCCCACACGGGCCCCAGGACGACCCGTCCTCGATGCCGAGGGGAGACAGCGTCGTGGCACCCGTGGGCGCAGCCGGGACGGGAAGAGGGACAAGAGGCAACCGCCCTGCTGGGTACACAGGGCACCGGCCCTGGGTGCCTCAGGCCTGTCCCAGGCAGCAGGCTCAGGAGCAGGGAGACAGGAATGAGCGCCAGCTGGCTAGCATGAGGGGCAGGAATGGCTGCAGCCGCACGGACTGCGAACCCTGAAACCTGCTCAGCCAGAGCAGAGTGCCGGGTTTGTTCACGAGGTGCCGTGTACACACAACCTACATGTGCACACAGGCGTGTGCCTTGTTAGGGATGAGCTCATGCTGAACGGACTCCAGACGGGCCTCTCAGCCCGACCGGCGTGGCTCAGGGCTGATGCCGACCTGTGAGCCAGGCCGTCACTGTTCGGTTCGATCCCTGAACAGGCACACGCTGGGGTGGCAGGGCTGGTCCCCAGGGTGGGGTGTGCAGGAGGCAGCTGAGCAATGATTCTCTCTCGTCATTAACGTTTCTGTCTCCCTCTCCCTCTCCCTTCTCTGAAATCAAAAAAGAAAGAAAAAAAGTGCGGAGGGGGTGGCACACAGGCCTGTGTGTGTGGGGTGGGGTACCTCGGCAGCGAGGGGGCTGCTGAGGTAACACGGGGCCAGAGGCAGCTCATGTCCACACAGCCTGCCTGCATCCCCAGGACCCCCCTGCCTCCCCCTTACCTGC